TATTATTATTATTATTATTATTATTATTATTATTATTATTATTATTATTATTATTATTAGAAAATATTATTAGAAAATATAGATTAGGGAAAATAACATTTTTTTTTCTCCCTGAGTTGTTTACTTATAGCACATGTTCCCCTGTATTGTTTACGCAATCACTTTATCCCCAATTCTAAACTTGTTTACTTATAGCACATGTTCCCTCTGTATTGTTTACGTGAGCATTTGGGAGGATATAAATCATGGTAACTCAACTGGACATGAACCTTGTTTACTTAACTCAACTGGACATGAACCTTGTTTACTTATAGCACATGTTCCCCCTGTATTGTTTATGTGAGCATTTGGGAGGATATAAATCATGGTAACTCAACTGGACATGAACCACAAAGGCTAGACATGTGCTCACTTCGCACAAGGCATTTGGGAGGATATAAATCATGGTAACTCAACTGAACATGAACCACAAAGGCTAGACCTGTGCTCACTGCGCACAAGGAACCCCCCTCACTTTGAGAGGTTGCTCCCACACTGCAGCTGGTGAGACTCAATCCCTGATCATTCTTCCAAAGTTTCACATCTGTGACCAGTGGTTATTAATACAAAGTGTCATTTTGCTTATTTATTTATTTAATTTTAATAACAGAAGCTGAATTTAAGAAAAATATTGATGCAATGGCACTATTGAATCCAAAAGTAGTAGAGTGGTTAATAATAATAATAATAATAATAATAATAATAATAATAATGGTGATAACAATAATAATAATAATAATAATTTAGGGTAAAAAGTGTCATTTTCCTAGAAATGATAATAAATAAGATAATAAATGATAGATAATATGAAAAAAATTCAGCATATAAAAATTCTTTACACATTTGAAGGAAAAAAAATAATGAAATTAAATGAGATATTAAGGGCCCGTTTTTCTCCAGAGAAAACTAGAGAATTGGAGAATATACAACATAAAACATGTTTATTAATACAGTTTTTAATTTTGAAAACTGTAAAAAAAATTTCAATCACATATGCTACTAACACTAGGCTCAATCTCATGACCTCTTATATAAAAGAGGTCACTACATGCTATCTGAGTATAAGGTGCTTGGCCACCAGGTTTTAGATTTTGATTGAACTCAATAGAATATTGGTTCAAATATTTTTAGTTATATATGTTATATCGTAATTAAAGTTTAGTTTAGATATTGGATATTAAAATTTTACATATATTATACATCAAAAGTAAAAAAGTATATGTATACAAGTCATTCAAATGCATATATTCAAAAATATTTTAAATATTAGCTCAAAAAATATTAATAAAATCCTTCGAAATTAAACTTGTGTTAATTTTATAATGTTAGTCTAAAAAAAAAAGTAAATTTGAAAAAATGAGTGTTATTAAACAAATTTTCTAAATACAAAACAAAGAATAAAAATTGAAAAATTAAAAAACAGAAAATAAGGAATAGTTTTTGAAGTAAACGGACCTAAGTGTTTATGTGGAGCATAAACTAAGTATATAAAAATTTGAGAAAGAGAGAGTAAGGGTGTGTTTGGTTTGCACATGAGAATTGGAATCATAATGGGAATCAAAATTTGATAATGGTATGAGTTTTTGTGAAAGTATTTTACATGTTTGGTAGTATGACGGAATTAGAATGATTATTGCCAATATTGATTTTTGGTTATTATGATCTATAATGGGAATAAAGGTTTTAAAAATATAAAAAAAAAAAACAAAAAACAAAAAAACAAAAAACAAAAAACAAAAAACAAAAAAAAAACAAAAAAAAAAATCAAGACAATTGATCTTAACATAATGACATCCAAAGTACCAATATGAACAAAAAAAAAAAAAAAAGTTTCAAAACAAAAATCTAAAAGTACTAATCCAAACTTAAAAATCATATTACCAATACGATGGAATGATACATTTTTTAGTTAAGGAATGATGTTTTTAATTATAGGGGTAATCAAATCTAATAGTTGTGTATGTTTTAAAAAATTATCAACCAAATACTAACTATGATTTTGATTCTCATTTATAGTGTGTAAACCCATGAACCAAACACACCATAACATTAGTAGTGAATAGTGATAGGCAGGATTGAAAGTGATATTAAGGTCGTGTACTTAATCAGTCAATCACTATCATGTTTACATCTTTAGAGTCTAACTTTAGCAATCCTTCAAAATAATCCATAGTGATATGAATTGAAGCATATGCAAGTTGGCGGTTGCTATTTAATTTCTCGCCATTAAATAGCAAAAGTAGTTTATTTCATACGTTCCGTAGCATGAGATCTATTTGCTTTTAGTCAAAATTTTTGAAAGAGTTAGAGCAACCTCAATAACAAGATTTTTTTTTTTTCTAGCTTAGTATAGATGAGAATATGTCTTTCGATAAAAAATATAATTGTAAAAATACATCAAACATAACTACAAAATGTATTTAGTGATATGTAAAAGTATACTTAAAAAACGTGTGAATTCTAAAATTACACGGATCAAAATTACAAAGTCCATCCGTTCTTCACTTAACGTTTACATACATATCATTGAGTGCAATTTTACAGGCACTTAGTAGTTTTATTGCACGTTCACACCTTTTACAAAAAGATTTATCGTGTATTACCGTGTATATATTCTCAATATGTAAACATATAGATGTGGTATTTATGTCATTTCATCATAGGCGAGAGGTCGCAATATTCGCACCAAATGCTGCTTTACCAAATTCAGGTTTTATCGATGGAGTGTTTAGGTTTTTTTCTTTTGATTTACACTACACATGAAGATGGCCGCTTAGCTTTTCATAAAGTTGACTGAAATAATGTTAATGTAATCATATCCTCTTAATAATTACAATAATATAATGTACTTTGCATATATCATTATGTTTGCTTCATCTACTGCATGTAATGAAAAATAATACGTACTATAATAATTTCATTTCATCATAATTATTTGACTTTGATCTCTAAAAACTTGTGATTTTCCAGGACTGATTTAATAGCATGCAATTCTACATTGTAGAAAATGCTACTTTCTGGGACAACTTCAAATCTTCAATCAAGTTAATCGGATAGGTAGTTTGATAATCACAAAATTTTAAATTTGACTTTCCGTGGAAATTATTTTCTTTATTTGAGTTGGTCAACCGTAAGTACACATTTAAATAACACTGAGATTTCCTGTAAATCAAAGAAAATGCTACTTTCTCAAATTTATTTTTAAGGATAATGGTCAAATAGGCCCTTCAACTATAGATCAATGTACAATTAGTCCCCTAAACTAAGAAAAGCTTTAATTAGATCATCTCTTCCCTTTTATGCAATTTAACCAATAACTTTTTAAATTTGTGCAATTAATTCATTTTGCAGGTAAGCTCAAGGAAATAACATGTACAATTAATTTTTTAAATTTTTTTTTAAGAAAAAAAAACCAATTGCTATCAATTCGACTTCTCCGTCTAACTAGATGAAGAAACTAGGCAGGCCTCCGTCCAGTTAAACGGAGATGCCATGGCCATTTTTTCCGTCCAATTGGATGAAGAAGCGGACCTAGTAACAACTCTAGGTAAGCTTTGAACTTTTGGACTGCTATAAACATTCATTCATATTAAATTTTATATATTGTTATTAAGTGATGAAGTGATGGGCTGGTGGTTTATATATCAAATCCTTGTCTTATATCCAGTTATAATTGGTCAGATTGCTGACTTTAATTATTTGGGAATTGAACGTGACGAGAGCTAAATATAAACAAACTCCTATCTTTATTTAATGCTTATATAGCTTGGAATTGAAGATAAGTCAGAAGCTAGCTAGGTCCATGACTTGATATGTTAGTTGAAAGTTGCAACCTAGTCCCACTATACACCTGAATTACTCATCGAATCATACATGTGAGACCGTTTTACGGAATTTATCCGTGAGACGAGTCAAGTTATGTTGGTCAATATTTTTTTGAATGTCACTAGCTCTATTACAATGTAGTATCTGTTCATATTATGTTGGTCAATATGAAAATATAATATTTATAAAGAAACGTAATACTAATCAGGAATAAAGTGTATTACTTATAAAGGAAATTGTAATATTTTTTAGGAAAAATGAAACAATTTAATATTTTAATGTAAAAGTATTACGCTTTCCCTTATAAATAATGTTAGGAAGTGTTTGTTACTTATGAGGAAAAATGTAATACTTTTAAATCAAAATGTAAAAGTATTACATTTTTCTTCAAAAGTATTACTCTTTTCTATATAAGTAATAAACAATTTATTCCTAATTAGTATTATATTTTTCAGTATAAATATTACATATTATCCCCATTTTGACCTACCCATCTCACGAACAAGGATCTGTGAGATGATCTCACATACAAAGATCTATGAGACGATCTCACACAAGTTTTTGCTTTATCTCATGACATGCTAAAGAGTTTATCATGCACTCTTAAAAGAGTTAATTCTTTGACCTAGCTTCTAGCTAGCTAGATTAAACGGAGAGAGAATCATATATGGTTAAGTTATAGTGTTGCTTTCAGTTGGTATAATGCAATTTTCCAGATGAACAAGGATTAAGCTCCCGGTTAGAGTTTTTGATTATTTTCTGCAGAATTGAATTCAACAAAATGATCCTTTACACACAAAAATATTTCTTTATTTGGTTGTGTGTAACCCAACCCACACGCAACAATAACTTGAATCGCATTTAATTTCCTTGTGACTTCTGCCCAGATATCATGATGCTGTTCCGCCCAAAATCCTGTGTTACTCAGAGTAACAGCAAAGTAAACCAAACTTCTACTGCACAGAGAGATTCATTCTCTGATGTCTTCACCTGCAAGAAAAACTCAATCATTGGTATAAAGTCTTACATCGTATTAATATTCTCAAAAATATTTCTTAATTAAGTAATAGTTGTAACATTATCCTTAAAATGGGGGACCCCACTTTTGAATCCAACAAATCCCTCCCTCCCACTGTGCTTAAGTTTCATTCGTCACCCCTGTGTATGTGTGTGTGTGTGTACAGTGTACATATATAGTTTTATGCCATTCTAGTGAAACAACCATCTCCTAAAGGTTGTACATACTTTTCTAACAGAAGAGGAAAATGGATTCAAGAACTTGTATTGATTATGCTTTGTTTCAGCTCACCCCAACTAGAACCAGGTAATTAACCACCAGTAGTTTACACTACAATTGTGGATTTTGTTGGATGAATTCTCACAATGTTTCAACTTTATGGATTTGGGTGGTTAAAGATGTGATCTTGTCATCTTTGCTGGCAAACAAAACGAGAAATTGGCTTCTGGGCTTCTTCAACCCTTCATTTCTCACCTCAAATCCGCTAAAGACCAGATTTCTAGAGGCGGCTACTCCATTACTCTTCGTCCTTCCACTCCTTATGCTTCCTGGTTCACCAAAGCTACATTAGAAAGGTCAGAATCAACATTCTTTCTTTTCCTTTTCTTTTTTAAATCAATTCTTCTATAGTTAATGTTCATGTTAGTAGCTGTTTAGAAGCTATGGAAAATTCTGGGTTTTTTTTTTTTTTAATGTTTTCAAACATTCTAGGTTTGTTAAATTTGTAACTACTCCAGAAGTTCTCGAGAGATTTGTTACGATTGAGCAAGAGATCATGCAGATTGAGAATGAACAGGCTAGTATGGCATCTCAGGTAGAAGGTATAATCAACCTAACAAGACTGTATGATCAGTGGGAACAGATTGGATTTCCAGAGATTGAAATGTGTCTTGATTCCTTATTTTTCTTGAAGATTACATGTTTTTGATCCTTGAGTTTGGTGATGATTATTAGGTGAATTCAATAATGGAGGTGGTGATACAGCTGAGGAAGAAAATCCAAAGTAAAACATCATGTCCAGTCATATAATGACTGTTTTTTAGTTAGGCTATCATGTGAATTGTTTCTCTTTATGTCTGTGAATAGGGTTCGTCTTCAACGCACTCTGGAAACTCGGAAAGCAGTTCTCAAGAAAGAGCAAGCCATGGCTTATGCTCGCGCTCTGGTATCAGGGTTCGAGATGGACTACTTAGATGACCTCATTACATTTGCCAATTCTTTTGGAGCTCTACGTTTAAGGTAAAGTGCAGTGCTATTATTGTTTTTATCTTTCTGTTCTTTTCTTTTCTTTGTTAAGTTTAATATTGTTTAGGTAAGATATATCCATATTCTTATTCTTCCATCTTGTTAGTTTTCTGAGATAGAGAGATCTTGTTATTCTGGTAGCGAACGACTTATGAGATTTAGGCTATCTTCATTTAGGGAAGCTTGCATTAATTTCTTGGAACTGTGCAATAAAAAGAGCAATGATGGAATCTGGTTGGATGAAGTGGCTGCAATGCAGGCCTGCACTCCTTCTGAATTTTCATATTTTGAGAAATCGGGAATCGCCATTGCTGGTGAAGATAAGTTTTATAATCAAGATGCCATGGTGAACTTTCGGAATGTATCATCACCACCTAAGTCAACAATAAGCCATGGAAGTTCAGATACTCACCAAGGTAACTTGGATAGCTCTATTTTCTGGGATTATTGTTGTCTGTTTCCTTAAGCAACTTATGATGTTTGATGTTCTGTTTGTTTGATTTTCAGATAATAGTTTGCTATCAGCAACTCAAGATGGGAAAGCCCAAGTACCAAACTGGCCACACCATTTCCCACAGTATATGCAAAATTTCCATGGTCCAGGGTTCCCACAAATGCCCCCATTTCCAGGCTACAATTTTCCTTACTTTCCTGGAAATGTGCCATGGCACCCGAATGCAGGTGATTCCAGTCGAAGTCTTGATCACGAACCAGACAAAAGTTGTCATTCGTTTTCCAGAAGTAAAAATGGAAAGAATTCGAAAGAAAATGGTAGGAATGAAAACACTGACACAACCTCTGGAAGTGATTCAGATGAGTATGTGGAGCACAAAGAAAAAAGGCATTCTTTGAAGCAGAGGAAAGGTTCTTCATCGAGAAAAGTTGTCATTCGAAACATAAACTACATAGCTTCAAAGAGACATGAAGAGGGGGATGAAAGCTCTGGAGATTCTTCATCTGAAGATGAAGATTATGCTAAAGGGCAGGTAGAGCAAGCCATTGCAGCGTTTGAGAAGTCCCGCAAAAAGAAGCAAGACAGAAAGAAGAGAAATGGAAGTAAGAGTAAAGAGGGAATTGAGAATGCTGAAAAAGAAAACATGAACAAAAGCTGGGATATGTTTCAGAACCTTCTTATGCAAAATGCAGATTCAAGCCCCAATGATGCTGCAAGGAATCAGGACGAGCACTTTAGAACTAAGATCTTAGGGGAAGATGAGTTATCAAAGCAACATGGTCTGTCAAATGATTCCTTCATTGCAATTGCAAGAGACATAAACAATGAAGAAAATTTGGGTGCAGGAGAATCTGTTAATCCAGTTAACAGAAAAGAACTTACCGACGAGGAGATGTTATTTCCAAAAAGATTTCAAGACCACAGCTTCTTTGGTGGTGATAGTAATCCAGCATCTATTGGAGATCATGCAAACGAAAAAACCAAAAGAGATGTTCTTGTTGATGAATCTATGATGGTTCAAGCTCGTCCTTTTGAAAACCTGTCTGATTCTCAACCAAAAGCTGACATTTTTCTGGTTTCAGATATTGTTGGAGCTAGCCAACCCAACAACCATAAGATGCCAGATCATGTAGAAACGACGAATGTGAATGAACCAGATGATCTTTGCATGGTGCTCGAGCGAGATTTATCAGATCAAGTTGAGGCCTCATGGAATCCAGAAATGGATTATGCAAATGATGTTTCATTGAATGAATCTCTTAGAAGGCAGTCTGATGTTTGTCCTGTTGATACGAAGCTTCCTCAAAACGGTAAAGCTCCCAATACAAAAAGTAGCAAGGGGCCGGGAGTAAAAGCAGCTAGGAAAGCTGAGATCCCTCCAAGGGTTAAGAAATCACCTTCTGGAAGTATAACACCAAAGAGCAAAGCTGAGAAGGTAACAAAGTGGCCTTTATTTATTCGAATCTACTTCGATTTTAACTATTTCATGTGGTTTAATTTCTCCATTGACAGGATGAAGAGAACAGGAAAAGACTGGAAGAACTAGTATTGCAGCGTCAGAGAAGGATTGCAGAGAGAAGTTCTGGTTCTGGTACTGGTACTAAAGCCCCAATCTCGAAGAAAATCACAAAAGAGAGCAAACCAGCCACCTCTGTTAAAGTTGAGAAATTACAGAAGCCAGTTATGAAGAGCTCTACTATAGACCGCCTTTCAGCTGCCCGAAGAAACCCCATGCCCCCATCTGCAGAGCCAAAAACCAATCCAAAAAGTAGGAAAAAAATCACAAGGGAAAATGACATTGTTGAGAAGAAAAAAGGGATGCAAAAGGCTAAGCCTTTAGTTAGTAGCTCAACAAATGAGTCGTCGATTATGGTTTCTGCTGCTGCATCTGAGGTTCAAATAAAGGACATCAAGGAGCTACACAGTAGTGTATCTTCAATCGAGAAAAACGAGACATGTATAATTCCATGTGAAGATACTATGATCAACAAGAACAATGATCAGATACCAAATGGAACTGAAGATCAATCTGTAGAGTCTGCACTTAAGAAAGATGCCTCTCCCCTCAATCCTCTTAGTTCTGCAGAATCAGAAATGTACAAGAACAGCAATACAAGTGTGAAGTCTCCTGTCCACTCTGAAATTTCTCCACCCGAATTATCCACCCCACCACCACACGACAACGAAGTGAATCTTGAAACACTTCAGTCAAGGAAGAAATGGATTGGTGATGAACACTCCCCGAAAATTGCTAAGGGAATTAGAAAGTTTCTATTGTTTGGCCGTAAAAGCTAAGTCCTTTGATCTGCAGTAAGTCCAGTCCATGCTGGTTTTCGTTTTCCTTTAAAAAAAAAATTTGTTGCCATTTGTTTGATGGAATGATTTTGTGTGCATGCTGAAATTATGTAATGATTCTTTGTGATTGAATTGTTGTTTGCTTGAAGGAGAGCCTTGCATATATTCTTTAATTCTTCATTATTATTGTATTAGATTTCTATAACCATGAATATATTTGTTCCAAGTTATTCCTGATTATATCAATGTATTCCCATAACATTATCATTTGTGGTTAGTAATTTTTTTTCCTTATTGCATAATCACGCTACGTTGACCCACATTGATACCCCTACACAATATTTCGTTTTCAAATAAAACTTAATATTTTGTTGATGGGGTGGGTTAGTTAATCTGTTGATTTGCGTAATCTTTCTTCGGTTTACCAGCCACAATCACGCAGGCATTCACGCAACCACCAAGGGGGCATGAATGAATGCATGATAAAACAAAATAAATTAAAATAATATATAAAAACAGCATGTTGCAATAAATTTCCCAATTCATACAATGAGACCGCACAAATTCACAAAGTATACTTTATTTTTAAAAAAATATATACATACATGAATATTAAGAAGCAGATATTGAAAATATATCAATTTCATTATAAAGTGTATCCAATATGAAAGTGCACTTAGAGTTCACACTTTGAAGTATATAGTTTAGTTTTTAATTTGGTTTAAGGGTTCTTTTTGTTTTAGGGGTTTAATATTTATGGTTTAGTTTTCTGAATTTATTAATAGATGAACTCTGTAGTTTTGCTAAAGTGTAATTTATAGTGTTGAAAAATACAATCTATGATGTTGCTAAGCATATAGCCGTATAGTAAAGTTGCTCGCATGAGCCAACTTAGTTGGTCATAGGGGTGAAGTTTGAGAAGAAGGACTAAAGATGGAGTCTAGCCTCAACCTTTGTGTTTAGCTGAGTTACCATGATTTACATCTTCCGAGATCTTCTGTCGGGCCGAAGTGTGGGGAGCCATTGGGGTTGGAGATTCAATCAAGAGTGTATAGTAAAGTTGAGTTATTTAAAAAATATCACTACATTTTTTTTTATATGCGCCTCCACTAAGATTCAAACGCACAACCTCTTATGTGGGAGTTCAACTTAGTGTCGTTGGACCACAAGGTCTTTGACACTCATATTGGTTTCTAATAATTGCTTCACTATTCATTCCCAATTAATAATATTAAATAAAATAAGAGAAGTTTTAATAAATTGACATTGTAATAAAATGGATAAAACTTCAATTTATCACTCTGTATTTAAATTAAGTTAAATTCTTAATAATAACATTAACATGGCAAATAAAGTATATTAAATACAAATTAAGTAACTCTAATATTTATTATGACAAATAACTTAAATATCTAGTAGTTTTAATATTCTTTGTGAATCTTGTAGTCCAATGGTATTCGGTTGTTCCCCTAAGTGGTAGGTAATAGGTTTGAGCCTCACTAGAGGTGCTTAGTAGTTTGGGTGTTCCCTTCTCTTGTAATAAAAAAAAATATTCTTTGTTGATTCAACTATTCATTTAGTAAGGGAAGAGTACATTCTTGAATTCAAGTTTTTTCTTCAGCGGAATTAGTTGTTAATTAATTTTTTTTTTAATTTAAAAAATTTTCACTTCAATGAAATTTGTTGTTAATTTTATAATTTTATCCTCCATTTCTATGGAATATCTTGAGAGACGTTTGGCATTTAGGAAATTTTGAAAATTTCTGCAATTTAAAAGGTAAGAAAGTTATTATTGTGTTATATTTTTTTTCCCCCTAAATAGGTAAAAATGTTTAAATTTTATCAAGTTACTTGTTTCAAAAAATCTTTATTGACTTTTGTTGTATCTTGTGGTAAATGTATGAGTTATTATTACTTTTAGTCCTCTCCGAGTAGAGTGATTTTACTATTTTTTATTCTCAATTTTAAAATAAATTAATTTTAGTCCAATTATTAATTTTGTGCCACTTTTGATCCTTAAGTAAAATTTCTCTCAAATGATCATTTGGCACCGGGTTAAAAACGTAATTTTATAATTCATGGCTTCATGCAATAATTAACCTTATCAAAGTAAGTGTATGAAAAATTAAGAAAAATTAATTGAAAAAAAAAAAGAAAAAAAAAAAAAAAAGAACAGCAACAACAACAAAAGGAACTAAGGAAGCAATGTGATGATGACTATGAGATGCTAACCAACAAAAAAAATTCATTACCTCCCACCACGACATATTTGTCTCTTTTATTTCAATACGATACGATACGTATTAATTACAAATATGATAAATTAATACATAATAATATTAGTAATAAAAATTAATAATAAATCTAGAATTGCAAATTAACGCCTTATACTGCCATCTTGTACCGCAGATCCACCGTTCCATCTGACGACCTTTGCACAAGGATGACGCCACCGACACTCTGATCCAACGTTCATCTACTATACATTGTTCATATTGTGTCCAAGGTTTCAAAAATAGAAAACAAATAAAATTAATATTTCACTAAACTTTTCTCATCCGGAAAAATAAATAATCAAATAAAGCATTTGTTGGTTACAGAAAGCAACAACATATATGGATTCCGGGCTGCTGAGATGTCACCATATTTGGTGGCCTTTAGAATTCTTTAAGCTTTATTAGTTGCTCTGCTTCTCGCTCACGCAACCCATTTTGTATATCTGAAGTGGGAAGCTATTCTGGACCTGTGAGTTACGGTGAGGAAGAGAGAGATCTAGATCTTTGGCAGGGAGGAACTGAAGCTTCAACCTCTCTCCAACAATGGCTTCCAAGGTGTTAATGATCACTGTCTTTGTATTTGATCTTATTGCTTTTGGTTTAGCCGTTGGTGCTGAGCAGAGAAGAAGTACTGTAAGCATCCGCTTCTTATGTTTCTTTCTTTCTGATTAAAGATTCAATCTTGAACTTTTGCTTGTATTGGGGTGTTATGAGAATTGAGGGATTTAATTTGCTTGTTCTGTTACTGGGGAATCTGGGATATGTTTGAGACAGATTTGCAGCTTGAATTTACTGGAGTTCGCTTGCAGGCCAAGATCCAAATGGATGAGGAACAGACCTACAGCTACTGTGTCTATGACTCTGACATTTCAACTGGTTTTGGTGTGGGTGCCTTCCTGTTTCTAATGGCTAGTCAAGTTCTAATCATGGTGGCCAGCCGCTGCTTCTGCTTTGGAAAGGCTTTGAGCCCCGGAGGTTCACGGGCTTGTGCAGTTCTCCTATTCATTATCTGCTGGTAAATATAAGCTGATAGTTGAATTGCACATAATATATGCTCAACAATTAAGACGTATTGTGAAATAAAACTAAAGATGGATGTTAATGAATTCCAGGGTGACATTCTTCATTGCGGAGGTATGTCTGCTGGCTGGTTCAGTGAGGAATGCTTATCACACCAAGTACAGATCATCGTACCTAATCAACGACCAACCGGTATCCTGCGAGACAGTTAGAAAGGGGGTGTTTGGAGCAGGAGCAGCTTTTGTGTTCTTCACTGCCATAGTCTCGGAGTTCTACTATGTTTCCTACTCCAAAGCCAGAGGAAGTGTTGGACCTTACGTTGGAGAAGCCAGTGTGGGCATGGCTGCCTACAAATGAGCTTTTTTACTGTGTCATCATTATACAACATTTTGATTGAAACTTTAGTTGGAGAAACATTGTTAATAATACTTTTTTTTTTTTTTTGTTTCTTTAATGCTGTATGTGGCATAAATTTACCTTGTAAGTTGCGTTTGATATGTGTACATGTATGTAATACGAGCCAGAATGTTGTTTGGTTCCTATGGGACATATACGGCATCATTTTGCTAATTTCAAGATCTAATTGAGTGTTTGTCTGGCATTAATTAGCTGATAAGAAAAGCAATGTTCGTTCTTCAGGATTTCTTACCTTCTCTTCACCAAGAAATTCAAACCCGTAACAATGTTTTAACAGGTTAAATTATATAAACTATTTAACTTATACAAATATAAGAAAGTTTTAGTCTTTCAACATTTTTTTCTTGTTATAAGTCTTTTAGTTTGAGCTGATTAAGGGGCAAGTGTTGGTCATATTGGTTTTATTATATGAAGGGGAGTTTGGACTACCGATCTTTTTTAAGAGATAAGAGTGTACGGCCACTCACGCCACAGACGTTATGCCATGGAACCGTGTTCACCATGAATGGTGAACACGGTTCTAACGGTGTTAGTACACCGTTATCTTTTCTTTTTTTTTTTAATTAATTGCGTGACTTTTCTTCTTTATTTTCACATTTTGCGGTTTTACTTTAATTTGAAGTGAACAAAGATTTCGGACATTCATAAATTATGAATTCATGCCTGCACATTCACTTTGGAACCGTGCCTACACATTCCCGTCCGAAATCACGGACATTCATAAATTATGAATCCATGGCTGCACATTCACTTTGGAACCATGCCTACACATTCACTTTGGAACCATGAGATTATGAATTTTCTGTTATAAGATTATGAATTTTCTGTTATGAGATTATGAATTTTCAGTTATGAGATTATGAATTTTCTGTTATGCGATTATGAATTTTCTGTTATGAGATTATGAATTTTCATTACATTCATAATTTCAGACATTCATAAATTATGAATTCATGCCTACACATTCACTTTGGAACCATGCCTACATATTCCCGTCCGAAATCACGGACATTAATAAATTATGAATCCATGCCTGCACATTCACTTTGGAACCATGCCTACACATTCACTTTGGAACCATGAGATTATGAATTTTCTGTTATAAGATTATGAATTTTCTGTTATGAGATTATGAATTTTCAGTTGTGAGATTATGAATTTTCTGTTATGCGATTATGAATTTTCTGTTATGAGATTATGAATTTTCATAAAATTCATAATCTCATAATAGAAAATTCATAATTTGATCAAACGCGCGCCGTTAACTCCACATCCGCGAAATTTTTTTTTTTTTTGGCCTAAAAACAACGTCGTTTTGTCTTGTGTTCACCATTCTCGGTGAACACGATTCCATGGCATAATTTGCGCTCACGCCAACCAAGCTTGTTGCAAGGTAAGCATTTGTTGATAGCTGACAAGGGAACATTTTAACTTCCAAAAGCATCCACCTGGAAAATTGGAAAAATTAATGCTAGTCTAACTGTCTAAGGATGCTCTTATGTAATAATTTGTGATAAGAGAAAATTTTAATTTTGGTCGCACGACTATAAGAACTTTATTAATTTCAGCACCTAACTTTTAAAAGTGTCAATTTAGTACCTTGAGTATGTAATTTTTGTTAATTTTGGTCACTCCGGCCAAATTGTCACCAAATTTGGCCGAAAAAATTTAATCTAACATTTAGTCTAAAATCTATAACATTTGGTATTTTCTATGCTTTCTCTTAATTGGTGTTGACCGAGGGACGTGTCGGTAACTGAGGGAAACCGAAATTACATCTACGCCGTCGGCAATTGCCTGGTCCATGTCGGCGATGAGGTCGGAAGTGACGCTTCCTTCATCCCAGTTGACCTTGTACACCGCCACACGAGCGCGCGGCACCACTCCTTTCGCTGTCCTCGACGCATAGCCGAAGTAGGAAACACCGTCAACGAAGAATTGAACTCTGTTCCTTCCTTGCAAACCCCCTTCCACCTCTTTGGAATCTCCGGCATACCGTCATCTCTAAAGCTTCTAGACTCCAGCCAAACGCTGGAGTCAATCACGCCTATTATCACATCCTCTCTGAACTTCGACACCGGCCATAGCCCAGTTCTGGAATTAAGCTTCAGAAAAGTCGGGCGTGTACGTGGTTTGGAGCTCAAAGCTCCGGTCTTTATAAGCCGAAACAAATCCTGGAGACTTTTTCAGGGCTTCAAGTTCGCCATCCGACAACACAGTGCTAAACTCGTGAAGCGCATAGTCGTAAGAGTAGACAAGCTTGGGCGGAGAGGAATGGCGGCCGCCGTCTATAGAATTCACGGCGGAGGAGTACCAGTGGTGGTGGCTGGCAATTAGGAGAAAAGATAAAAAAAGATCATTTTGCCCCCAAGATTTTAGACTAAATGTTGGATTAAATTTTTCCGGCCAAATTTAACTGGAGTGACCAAAATTGACAAAAATTACATACTCAAGGTACTAAATTGACACTTTTGAAAGTTATGTGCTGAAATTAACAAAGCTCCTATAGTCGTGTGACCAAAATTAAAATTTTCTCTTTGTGATAATTTTATACTGTCATTGCATCAAGTAAAATATGACACAGTTATTTTTTAGCTTTTCCAGAACACAGCTTGCATAGGTACGCTGTTGACTTACATGTAAAATCTTATTTCATGGCAGCCAAGCATTGGCTGAAGCCTAGTATAGTACAGTGTTGGAAGCCTTTGAAGCAAGGGCAGTAAGAATGTCTGTTTCATGTGCTAAGAGTCTTGGCAAATTTACTAATCCAGAAGAAGGTACTCTTTTTTATTGATTCAATTTTTGATGCATTTGTGTTTTAGATCCTTCATGTTTATTCAATTTGACTGAACATGTTGCAAATGTTTATTCATGCAGAACTGACGGCTGATTTAGCTGAAGCATGCAGCTGTTGCCCACTGCCAATTAATTGTTGTTTCTAAGTAAGCTCCTTTAGTCTTGCCCAGAAAAGGCAAAATTCTCTCGCCCCTAGGGCCCCAACTGGATAGTGGAAGAGTAAATCACAATGACTCATTGGCTAATTAGATAGAGGACTAGTGCATGGTGCTCACAAAGAGCCCATCACATTGGGTGTAACTCTTACACTGACTGTCAAGGCTCGATCTTGTACCCTTGCCCACAATCTATCACTCAGAAACCAACTGAACTGCCCATGCAAACAGTATATTGCAATCACATTGGGTGTAACTCTTACACTATGACTGTCAGATCTTGTATCCTTGCCCACAGTCTATCACTCAGGAACTAACTGAACTACCCATGCAGACAGTATATTGCAATCTAATGAATTAGAATGACAGTCTTGCTCTTATGAATTCCTTCTCTTCCTGAGGATTTGGTCGCGATCTTATGAATTCTTTGTTATTCAGGTTTATCGAGAAATCGCAGCAAGACATTCCAGGGAAGGGGGTGAAGCAAGTAAGCAACAGTTGCAGGCGCTTTGCAGTCTATTACAATTGCAAGAGACATTCTCTTATGATGTTTCATATTGAAATATATGGTATACAAAGTTCCAAAGTTAAAGACAACTAGAAAGATTTGTGGGGATTGGGACACATCATACAACATAATATTACCTACATTTAATTGGTACACTTGATCAAGATGGATAATGAGAACCAATGCACTAAATCATTCAGACAAAGCTCAAACATTGCTTATAATGTCTTCGAATCGATTTAGCAGTTGGAGGGGCATACAACTGAGATGACTAATGAATCAAGATGCTTTCACAACCTTCGCTTTCTTCTTCAGCAACCTTGATCCAAATTAGTAACCCGCACATGTCTTCTTCTTGACAGTAAAGAATCGGCTCAAGAACTAAGATCATATGACTGGATACTACATTGTCCTTACACTAGTCAATAGGTCAAAAACGTCAGGTGTTGTTAGGTAACATCGCAGCAACTGCCATCCCAGAATCCTACCTTTATCACCAACTCTGTTTACTAAATCTCCCATTTCATTTACTCTCTATTAGTCAAATGACTCAAACCATAAGTTGTGATGCTTTTCCTTTCATGATTTTTGTAGTTTTTAATTGTGTTCTTGGCAGGCTATATGTAAATAACTAGGGAGCGAGGAAAAAAATCATCACAAATGTAACAAAATATATATAAAATTGAGGAAAGAGATGTTTCTTACATGGATAATTAAAACTGGGCTGTCGACTTCTTGTAGTTTGTCTATATTCTGAAAAGAACAACAGCACTTTCACAACAAAATCAAGACATCAAAAGTCAATCAGAGATCAATGTGAAAAGATTAACTTACAGTCTTACATTGAAAATGTCAAACCAAAGCATCATCTTGACAGGATATAGAACTCGTATTCCAGAGGTATAGCACTATGAAGAACAACAGCCCTCAACATCCGTAATGAGATGCCAAATGTAGCATGGGGACTTTGGCCATATCAAATCACATTCTTGATTCTCCTGCTTAATTCCACGGCGCTCTTCAAACAACTTTAGACTACTTTCAGCCAAATAAGGCAAGATCTATCTAACAAGTTTGTATATATTCCTTACCCTACCAGAAGATCCTTCATTTCCTGAATAGTAGTAGCTGTAAAGCAGCAAAATCATGCATCCTGTGATAGAGGTATTTAACAAAAGCTTTGGTAATAAGGGGCTAAGGGCGATATAATATTATGGTGAACTCAAGCTGACCATCAATAATTAGCTAAAAGATACTCATGAAAGCAACTTTTAAGGAAAATAACTATTAAAAGTTAGTGATGTTTCATTAGGCTCATAATTCCCTGAAATTTTTGCCAAACATTTAATAAAGCACAAGAAATTACTAAGAAAAGCAACTGATTTCTGGAAGCCCTTTGCTGAACTGGCAAATGCTAACCCATTCTCCTAAAATAAGAATTTTAGAACAGTCATGATATGGTATCTTCTAGTATAGTTAACAGTGTCAGTAAGAAAGTTTCCACTAATTCAATGTTCACTTCCGCCAAAAAATAATACAGGTTCACTCTACAAGTTTCTGTTTTCCAATTAAGGAGATATCTGCTGTCTGCATGGCATTCAGGCAGCAAATGGAATACATTCCAAAAATGACAAGAATCAAGGTAATGTCAGCTATATACCTGAAAAAGATTTCAGCTATTACATATATCAAACTTCCTCATCAACTCTATACTCGCTGCAATAGTTGAACCACTAGTTCCCACAAAACCAAGAGAAGCACAGCTACATACAGTTTCCTCTATGTATAACAGCACATCAGGTAATGTTTGAGCATGCTGATTTTCCCGAATTTTGATGGAATACTTTGAATCAGACCCAACCTTCATCCCATTTCCTGCCTTCACAACATTCCTAGCAGTTTCTCTAACCAGCTCATCATCTTCTTTAAGGACAAACAGTTTGATACCTGAATCTTTTGTAATATCACCCAAGTAGCTCCCAGACCAATTAGACATGGGAAGGTCAGTCATTAGAAACACATGAATAGGGTTAGGTCCAGTTTGTTTCAAAGATTCTAACTTATGCTTCAATTCTTGAAAAGTAGCTTTCCAGTGGTTCTTGAACTGCCCATCCAATAGTCTAAGCTGTGCACAAAGAAAAGGAGCCTTAATTGTTTTGAGAACGAAATTCTTTCCAGCATCAAGAATTTCTGGTACAAAGGGTAGGAACTCAATCCTCTTGATGAAGGAAGCTATCCTTTTATCATTAGGAGCTTCGTGGATATCAATGTGTGACTCTGATCCCTTATATGGGGAGGTGAAAAGGCTTCCAAATGCAAGAACTTTGGCAGAATCAACAGCAGAGCCCAGACCAAGGGTCTTATATACGTCTCTTCTTCTCCTAACAAAGGCAATTCTCTTCTTCTTCTTGAGTTCCTCATCAGGTTGAAATGAGTCTAAAGCACCATCTTCACCATCTTTTTGGTATGTCCAAACTGTTGTCCTGCAATCCTCCTCTAAAGCATATAAACAACTATTTAAATTACCAGATTTCCCAGACAGCAAAGACCCACATTCGTTTAGCCTTTGTAACATAGAAGATTGGGCATTTTGGTTTCCAGTGCAAAAATGATCCAGATTCACACCACACCATTCAGACACAAACACTCTAAAATCCACAACACTGACAGCTGAAGCAGACACTATTGCTGAAAGGTCAATAATATCTGCCATAGAAACGTATCTGCAACCAGACAATAATCAACATATTAAACAGCTAGCCTAATATAGCTGCCCTTCTATAAAAGACAGAGTTATATTGTTCATCAATGCATAGCATCAAAATAAGCATTATTAGCAGAATGGGAATATGAACTCAAGATCCGGAGTTCCTAAAATTTTTGACTTGCCTGCAATCACGCAAGAGCTCAATACTATGATTCCAAACCGCGAATCTCAAATCAGGGGGGCTTAAAACCCTAAATTTGGGACAGCTACCGAGAGCAACGGCGTGGTGATCTAGAATGGGAGGCACAATGAGGGTTCGATTCAAAATGGAAGCCATTAGAAGCGCGTTCTTGAACTCGGACAGCTGGTTGCTGAAGCCACTGTGGGGCGCGTACCAGATGAACTTCCCCCTGGAGGAGGAGCCGCATCGTTGGAGAAGGAACGAGGGAGAATTCCGGGAAAGTGGAAGTTGAGTGGGGGAAACGAAGCGTCTGAAGTAGAAGAAGAGGATGATGAAAGAGGAGAAGATGAGAAGAGTGAGAAGTGCAGATCTTGGAGACTGAACCGAACTTCTCTTCTTCCATCTGTGGGTTCCCCTAAAATTCGCGCCTTCCATTTCTGCGTCTCGGTCTCTCTCAGCTATGGCGAAGATTGCTACAAATCATTCTGCAACAGATTTTCCTTTTTTTTTTTTTTTTTTTTTTTTAATTTTAAATCGAGGTTGCAATTTATATCCTGCTGGTTTGTGGACCATAATCCAAAACGATATTATTTTGATATTAAAAAAATTTCTTATTCTGCACATGTGTTAAAATAAAGAACATTCTGAAATATGATAATATATTTTATGAGTTAGAATAATATATGTTATATGTTAGAACAATATACTTTATATGTTAGAATAATAAAATTTATAGAATAAGATAATGTATTTTATGAATTTGAATAATATAATTTATATGTTAGCTAGAATAATGTATTTTATGAATTAGAATAATGTATAATATACTTTATCTGATAAATAATAAAATTTCTGAAGTAAGATAATATATTTTATGAGTTAGAATAATGTACTTTAATTTTTTCAACCTGATCAACCACGAGTTTAATTTTTTAACACCCACTCCGACCCACGATCCACTGTCACTCAAAAAAATAATAATAAATAAATAACTTATTCCATGCGAAATGGATTCAGATAGATATCTACGGAGGGATTGAAATTGAAATTATGTTGTGCAACCGAATGCACCATGCGCATTGTGCATACGATGCAAAACGATGTTGTTTTGGTTAAAAAATGCGCGTCCCACTTAAAAAAGAAATCAAGTTCGATTTCCGGCAATAGCATTTTTATATATCCATTAATTCATAACTATATATCCACAAATTCATAACTATATATCCATAGTGAATGAATGAACTAAATATCCACAATGATTGAACTAAATATCCACAATGAATGAACTAAATATCCAGAAATTCATAACTATATATCCAGAAATTTATAACTATATATCCACAGTGAATGAATGAAGTAAATATCTAGAATGAATGAACTAAATATTCACAATGAATGAACTAAATATCCCTAAATTCAGGGGCGGACCTAGCATGGGGGCAGCTGCCCCAACACACCCCACCCCCACCCCATATATAACCGTTGTATATATATATGTAGAGAAAATTTCAATTTTGGTCACATGACTATAGGGACATTGTTAATTTCAGCACTTTACTTTTAAAAGTGTCAATTTAGTACCTTGACTATGTTATTTTTGTCAATTTTGGTCACTCCGGCCAAATTGACGGTCAAATTTGGCCGGAAAAATTTAATCCAACATTTAGTCTATAATCTGAGGGGCAAAATCGTCTTTTGATCCTTTCTACTATTTCGCCGGAAATTCTTGTGCTTTTCGTCCGGGTCACTTTTCCGTATTGCTCTGTTCAGTCAAGAATCGGTAACCCATTTGCGAAAATGCCCCAAGCTGTAGTCTTTAACGACACCCTTCTCAAGTATGCGAGTCTGGATATAGGGAGCCTCAGTTGAGAAAGGAGGTTGATGAGCTTAATTCGGACCATATTTTTACAAAGGAAATACTTGTTTTTGAGCCCACATTCCTCTCAAACCCTCCAGTTCTTGCATTCTTCAATCGTATCATGGCCATCAATCACCTTGCCATACTCACTATTCAATAAAATCCCACTATTCCCCACAATTGCACAAGAACTGTACCTCTCCTTCTCCAGTTTCGATTTCCCATTGTGCTTATCAATTAAAACTTTTACTCCATGCACCAAACCAATCATATAATCAGTCTGAAGCTTCCTATTACGAAACCAATCACGCAAATACCTCCGGAAGCTCAGCCAGAGGCCAGAGCAGGTTAAACTCCGGGGACCGGAGCTGTAAAGGCATCCCTTTAGCTGACCTGATTTTAAGGTCAATATGATATCTACCAGAAGACAAGAAAGATCTATGGCGACCATTGGTTCTGAAATTACCTCTTAACAGCTCATCAACCTCCTTACTGAACTGAGGCTCCCCAATATCCATGCTCGCATACTTGAGAAGGGTGTCGTTAAAGACTACAACTTGGGGCATTTTCGCAAATGGGTTCCCCATTCTTGACTGAACATAGCAATACCGAAAAGCGTCCCCTACGATTGACTATTTCGCCGGAAAAAATGGTGCTTAATTCGGACCATATTTTCAAAATTAGGAGAAATGATCAAAAGACGCTTTTGCCCTTCAGATTATAGACTAAGTGTTAGATTAAAATTTTCCGGTCAAATTTGACCGTCAATTTGGTCGGAGTGACCAAAATTGACAAAAATTAAATAGTCAAGGTATTAAATTGATACTTTTGAAAGTCAGATGTTGAAATTAACAATGCCCCTATAGTCATGTGACTAAAATTGAAATTTTCTGTATATATACATATATATAGTCACAGTTTTCGTATAAGTTAAAGAAAATAGCAAAAATTGAAAGAAAATGTGTTAGCCTAGATGGTAAGCCATGCCTGTCTCCTTGAGGAAGGGTGTGGGTTCGAATCCTCTGTAATCTTATTTAGCTTCAACACAGTTTTTACACACACACACACACACACACACATATATATATATATATATACTTCTATATGAATAATAAGGGCGTGTGTTCGAATGTTTCATTTGGCTTGAACACAATTTTCTCACATACACACACACACACACACACACACACACATATATATATATATATATATATATATATATATATATATATATATATATATATATATATATAATGAGATGTGTAATTTATAATGTGTTTTCTATTATAATTATTTTATCAAATAAATTTTGTTTCATATTTTGTTATAAGTATTTTTATAAAGTTTTGATGTGTTTTATTTTTCATTCATATCTAACAATATTTATGACTAACTTCTTAAGTGTTTTTGTTTGTTTGTTTGTTTATTTATTTTTTTTTTTTAAGTTATCCCTTTTGTTTTAATGTTTTGCAGAAGGTCTTGATGCTTAACATTTTGTTATAAACTTATAGACATTTTTATTATTTGAACTCTGCCCCCACTCAACCATTTTTCTGGGTCCGTCATTGCATAAATTCATAACTATATATCCAGAAATTCATAACTATATATCCACAATAATGTTATTACCGAGAATCGAATCTTTTTTTTTTTAAATAAAACGCGCATTTTTAATCAAAACAATGTCGTTTTGCATCGTATGCACCATGCGCATGGTGCATTTGATTGCACAGCATAACTATTGTTGAAATTGACTTGCTTAGCCTAAACCCAACAATAAGCCCAAGAACATAGAAGTTTATTAAGGATCACAACAGACCCAACTATAAGAATTCGATTCAAAAAAAAAAAAAAAAAAAAAAAAAAAAAGGCAAATGGCATGTTCAATGAATCAACAAGTCAAATTTTATACTCCGTAATACATTGAAATGAAGGGGAATAAAAATTATTTGATTCTCTATTAAAAATATTGAGTTAATTATATTTTTCTTCCTAGATTTATAGGTGAACGTCCATTTTTAGTACTTTTTATTAGCACATCATCATTTGGTCCTAGTATTATTGTAGTGTGACCATTTTTAGTCTCACATCAATAAAATCGTTGAAATGTCATTAAATACAAAGACATTTCAATCTTTTTTATACAAAGTAGGTTAAACCGCTATATTTTTTACCAGTAAATTGACATTTAACTTATTTGAAGCTAAAGATAAGCAGATACATGTTTATAAATCTTAGAAAACTAGCAATTGTGGATTACAAAGGAAGAGAATCAGTATATATAAAGATTTAGTTGAGGAAATTTGAAAAAAAAAAAAAAAAACTCTATGAAATGACTAATATGTCTTTCAATAATTTGAGAATTTGAAGTACAATGTTATTTTTTAGCTATACTCCAATGGCAAAAAAAATGTGTGTATCAAACTCAATAATTAATTAATTATTTAATACAAAATGATATAAATAAAAAATTATTGAGGTGTCCCTCAATAATTTGGAAATTTAAAATGCATTATTAATATTAACATAATTTGTTAGTGGTGGACTAAAATTGTCATTTTACACATAATTAAAGGAGAAAATTTGTATATGGTAATAATCCATTGACCAATTCTACAATATATGTATAATTAATGGACCAAAACCACCATTTTCTCTCCCCTTTTTTTATATTCCTTATTTTGGGGTTAATGAAGACAAACTCTCATTTTGATAAATTAAAAATCAATCTCAAGTGTCCATCTAGTCGTATCTAGCAATTTTAGAGCAATGAGAGAAAAATTGCAGTGGTTTTTGAAAAATTTTCAAACTTTAAAAGTGTCATTTTTAACACTATACAATACACGTTGCAACGCTATGTTGTGCATTTTGACCTATTTAGAAATACAATGCACTTAGGGTTCATCTTTTAGAGTTATGGTATGGTTTAGTGTTTTACTTTTTAGTTTGGTTTATAAATTTACTTTTTACTATTTAGGGTTTAACATTTATGGTTTAGGTTTATGATTTAAGTTTTAGGAGTTATTTCAAAATGCACTCTATAATATAATATTAAAAATTATACTTTTAAACTCAAATTGCATAAGATTTATTAAGGTTGATTTTTAGTTTTTTCATAATAACATATTGTTATAAAGAATGGAATGATTTAAGGGTTTATGATGGAAGGTAAACTATTATTCTGATTTGTAATTTGTAATTGTGTAAGGTGTTATTAGTAAGTAATTTTAACAAATTTGTGTGGATTAAAATGAGAAAGCTAAAACATGTGAATGCAGTCTGTAAGCTAGCTTTTAAGATCATAAGTTAATTATTATTATTATTATATATTATATATTAAACCCCATTGCAAAGAAATTTCCTCCATCAAACATCAATAATGATGATTAGAGTTAGCATTATTGTACAGTGTGAATAAGGAGTGGTACGTTATGATTTGCAATTTGAGAATTGAGACATAATTATATGAGGGGGCAAAATCATTCTTTAATAAATTTCTTTCTATTTCTGTTTTACAAAACAATTATTAATTAATGGCATGCCTACTTACGGGGCTCAAACAGCCTGTTCGGAATCAAGCCACGTGGCCTGTCTGTCCCTATTTTTAATCATGGTCACGTTACACATTACGCATTTGGCATTAATTTATTGCCCCTCCATTAATTAATTAATTAATTCATCCTGGAACTGCTAATCATACAAAGAATTGGGTTCCAACTTCCAATTCATGAATACCATGACTTTACGAATTACGCCTTTTTATTTTTTGTTTTTGACTTTTTTTAATAATTAAAGAAATATAATTCAATTATTATAATCATAATTATTATTAGTATTTATCATGTTAAAAAAAAAATTGGTTCTACTAATAGGGTCTGTTCAAGAATTGCAATTTGGAGATGTAGTAGATCTGATTTTATATTTGACAATATAATACTCCGTATTATTTTGCATTATATGCTATTATTTGGAAAGAAATGTGGTGGGGGAAATATAACAAAAAAATAATTATAAAAATTGTGCATCCGTACTGATGATTACGTTCCTTATGTCATTTCTCCAAAGCGGACCAACGTCTGTCTGGAAAATCAGATTTTTTCGGTAATAATTTTATATATTTAAAAATATATTTTCAATAAAATATTCTGTTGGTCATACACTTCAATTTCTATTTCACCCAATTTTGTTGTAAATTATGAAGCAAAG